GGGAGATGAGAGGAGGGGAGGGGAAGGGAGGGGAGGGGAGGGGAGGGGAGGGGAGAGGAGTTGGTGCCTAGATAAGGGGGAGGGGTGGGAGGGGTGAGGAGATGATTGGAAAAAAAGGAGGGGAGGGGAGAGGGGAAGGCGAGGGGAAGGAATCTATACATTCACCCATCTATGTCCAGTCTTCACTCACCGTGGTATTGGCCTTCTCACTGTACGAATATTCTTGTGTTCTCCGATCTTCACGCGGCGTTGGCACCTTTCCTTATAGACTATTACTCATTTTCCTTCAATTTTCCTTTTTTTTAGGGGGGGGGGGGAGAGAAAGAGAGCAAGGTCATGGTTCATTTGCTCCCTTTTCGAGCATGAGTTTTATGCCATGGGGCGTGTTCATGGCCCGACGGAGACTGAACAATGGGGCGGATAATTTACTCCTATTCTCTCTCTTTCTCACTCTCTCTCTCTCTCTCTCTCTCTCTCTCTCTCTCTCTCTCTCTCTCTCTTTCACTCTCATACACACACTCCGTATACACATCTGATTCGTTTATTTTTCAGTATTCATTGGATTTGTTCAGTATTCATTGGAAAGTTGATGCACAAAATTATCATTCACAGAATTCTGAAACCGTATCAAGAGAGAGAAAGAGAGAGAGAGAGAGAGAGAGAGAGAGAGAGAGAGAGAGAGAGAGAGAGAGAGAGAGAGAGAGAGAGAGAGAGAGAGAGAGAGAGAGAGAGAGAGGATAGAGATAGAGACAGCTAGAGATAGATATAGATAGATAGATAGAGAGAGAGAGATGGAATTAGAGAGATAAAGATAGATAGATAGATAGACAGATAGAGAGAGAAACCATTTACATTTTCACGCCAGTGAGAAAGGCGACACTAATTGTATTTTCTAAGAAGCAATTCGTATTCGCTAAACGAGATTTTATAGTAACTATTAAGTGAAAAGTTTATACGAGGCTCATTACTCTGGACTAATTGCGTAAAGTAATTAGCCTCGCTGCCACAGATTTATAACTAATTTGATACTGGAAAATAAAAGTTGCGTGTGGATTTTAAATGCTATGTTGTAGTTACTGTATTCTGTATTCTAATCACTGATCTTATCTATTATTTGATATTTTAATACTATGATTCATTTGCGTTTTTTTCTTACCACGTATATACATTTTTAGTTACTTATTTATTTTTCAAAATAAAGATTGCGACAAATGTAAAAAAAATATGAATGAGAATGAATTCTTCACAGTGCAAGAGATGTATTTGACAATGCAAGAGATCTATTTGATAGAGATGTATTATAGCTTCAAGTATCAATTTCAACAAATGTTACAATAACCTACTATCCAAAAGCGTCCACATTCATTCCCCGTTAATAAAAACGAACAAAATCTGATTCGCTTTATTTCTTCGCCTCCACTTTAGGTCCTCCAACGCAGACCTGATGGAGATCTGCCAGACGTCACCCTCCAGCGCCTCCCTCAAGGTCCAGCAGGAGCACCAGAGCCGAGGACGACACAGGTTGGTAGAGCTAGGGGTGGGGGTGGGGGGTGTTATGGGCGGCTGAGGGTGTGTGTGGCTTGGGGTGGGGTGGGGGGTGGGGGGGTATCCTCTTGTTACCATGTCATTAAAGTTGTTCGATTCCCCCCCCCCCCCCCCCTTGCCTTCGGTCTTGTGCTTCTCTGTCTATCTTTATCTAACTGTTCTTTCTTTTTTCCTTTTCTTTTTTCTCTTTCTTTCTTTTGTTTTTTTTTTCTATTTTTCTCTCTCTTTCTTTCTTTTATGTTTCTTTCTGTTCGTCTCTGCATAAGTGTTTTCTTCATATATATATATATATATATATATATATATATATATATATATATATCTTTCATCTTTCTCACGTTTCTTTCTTTGTCACTCTTTTCTCTTTCCTTCTCTTCTCTTCTCTTCTCCTCTACTCTCTTCTCTTCTCTCCTCTCCTCTCTCTCTCTCTTCTGTTTTGATGATGTTTTTCTCGCATCTAAAACCACAATAAACCGCTCAGACGACATGTGTTCGGTCACGGCAACGTACTTTAACCAACGCTTAAGACATTTTCTGTTTCCGTAAGGCTTTTCCGTAAATGATTTGTTTTTGTTTACATTCCTAGTTGATGGCTTGTATTTCGCCTTAGAATCAAAGTCCTGATCCTATTTCGTTGCCGCCGTAACTTTCGTATCTTCGTATGCGATTGAATAACATACCGTAGTGTCTGTGGTATTCCTGTGCCATTATCCAAAGGGTGACCACCAATCGCACCAAAACAAGTCAAAGGCGAAACAAGGTAGTTGAAAAATCACAGTGACATAAAACGATCAGTGGTTGTTGGGATCGTGTACATTGCGGTGTGTAAACTCTTACAGAATCCGTTACAGTGGTAAAAGTCCGGTCAAACACTTCTAAGTCTTCGAGTGTGTCTACGTGTATCCCATCCGGCCATTAAAACCAAGAATGATTATACTTGAATGGCAGGTCTTTGGAGGATCTAAAAGACGACTGACCACTGTTGGTACGTGCATTCACGTAGCGCCTCTCTCGTCAAGGGGGAAATATTTCTTCAGTAGCTTTCTTTCTTAGTGATTGGCATTTCTGTAAAACATGGTCTGTATCATTACTGTCATAAATGTTCTTTGGGTTATTGTGGATGCTACAGAACTGGATTGAGGGAAAGAAGGAGAAAGGGAGAGATAGTGTATAAACGTATGAAAGAATTGGAAGGGCAGAGGGAAAACAGGAGAGGAAAGAGAGAATGAAATAAAGAGGGATAGGAAGAAGGAAAGAGAAAGAAGGAGGGAAAGGAAGAAGGAAAGAGAAAAAGTAAGAGGGAGAGGAAGAAAGAAAGAGAAGGAGAGGAACAGGCAGAGAAACAAAATACAACTAAGTAGACGAAGATAGCAGTTGTGAAGAAGAATACGAAAATCCCTTTGGAATGGCGCTCGTGACACCCCCATTAGAAGACGCCATCCGTAGACAATGGTAAGGAGGGCAGACTGCTTTTTTATGACAGAGCAGAGTAGCAGATGACTGCATACATAATAGACAAAAGAAATGACGCGTTCGTTCTTATATAACGGAGACTTTGATATATAAATATGTAGAACTTTTGTCACATTCGAATCAAGTCAAATCCTACGCTTCAAAGATGATGTGAACATTTTATTTATGGATATGATGTGGGTGATTCTCTGCACGACAGGTGTAGCTATCTCTCGCGTGTCCTTTCATTTTGTTTTAAGAAAAAAAAAATATATGTAAATTTTGAGTCACCTGACAAAAACATGCTTAGTACAAGCATAATATATTAACTTTTAAGGCATGGGCGTAGTCAACTGTAAATATTAATGCAAATATGATGACAAATACAAGGTATTAGCACCTCCTTGTCCTTGCATACCTGCATTAATAACATCAAATACTACAGACGTATCCAGTATGCTGTATCTTTAGCAATACCAACAACTACAGAAACTGTACCTTCACCTTCCAGCGTATAAACATATGTACATCAGCTTGACCGCCCAAATTTCCACATTTCTTACCTTCGCGTCTCTGTAATTTATGCTTATTCGTCCGGGAACTGACTATCAGAATGTCATTGTCAGAAGTTCGTGTTCATGCGATGGCGGTTCAGCTACTCATTTATTCACGCTTTATGGCCGATTGAACAGGCATTATATTACGTAAAAATCTGTTGTTGATGGGACTGTAACGTGGAACCTGGCGATGGTATTCCGTAGAGTTTGAAGTGGACGATATCCCCCCCCCCCTCATTTCTCGTCGTCTCCGTGCTTCATTCGGTGTGTTTTTACAAGGAAATGGGGAAAATGTGGAAAACGATAGTTGATATAAATTAAGATAAGGCAAACTGGGTATGTTCGGGACAGAGATATCACACACACCAAATCAATACTAATAATCCATTATATTTACTTCCAGTTCGCCCAGCGGAGAACGGAGCAGGAGCAGTAGTTACACGCGAGTGCGGATAGATGGCAGCAGCGGCAGCTCCGTGGTCGTGACCGCAGCGGGCCCCGCCTCCGACCCGCAGCCGCAGTCAGTCGCTCACAGCTACGGCTCGTTACCTAGACGCTCCTCCGCAGCCTCTCACGCCGCCGCAGCCGCCGAGTACACAGCCGCAGCAGAGGCGCAGACGCAGACGAGTGAGGGTGACTTTAGCGGTTATGTGACGCTGCCAAGGAGGAAGCCATATTTAAATTTTAAGAGTGTGTCGTGTGGTTCAAATGCGAGTAATAGTGTTGGTTCGGAGTTTGATAATGAAGACTTAAGTTATTTCAAAGAAAGAGTCGGCATCTTGAGAAACTGTGGTGTTAATTCGATAACTCGCACGCAGAGCTTTAAGGAGGGACTCAATTGTTATTCTCACGAGTATAGCAACACTGCGTACGGCTTATCGAGAACGCAGAGCTTCCACGATGGCCTAGCGGGGGACTTCAACGCGCTAGAAAGTGGCAAGACGAAGCTCCAAAGGGCGCCGTCCGTGGATGAGATTTTAGAGTCTGTGAAGACCCTGAGGGCGAGGAAGACGATGGTCAAGTCAACGCCAGACCTCCTGAGTCCCCAGGAGCCTGTGTACCACTCGGCGTCGCTGCCGAGGCACAAGGGCAGCAAGGGCAAGGGCTCCCGCGCCGCAGGGACGTCGTCCCTCCTCGGCGTGAGGTACAACGGGCCCTCCTCCAACGAGTCGCTCTACGAACGAGTCCCTGAGCCCGACTACGAGCAGATCCCCGAGTCCCTGGTTGGCGGGACGCCCTACTACGAGAACGTGTGTCGCGGCAACAACCACTATGAGAACATCCACCTGAAGGGCGAGGTGATCTACGACAGTCCGAGGCCCACTGACCACAGCCTCCACCACCACTACGACAAAGTCCACGGCTCGGCGGACCTCCACTACGAGAATGTCAAATTCGACGCGCCCGTCTACGAGAACGTGGACGAGAAGGAGCCCACTTACATGAACGTCAACGGCACGTCCAAGTCTGGCAACGTGTACGCCAACATCGACACGGGCAGCGGCACCAACAAAAAGTCCGGCAGCCTTAAGTCCTCGAAATCAAGGTCGAACAAGGTCACCATCAGTGGGAACTCCATGATGCAGGGCACGACCTATGACGTCCCACGGGCGGCCACCCACATCTACGACTCCCCACAGAGGCAGGTGCGGTCCGTGGCGTCGACGCAGGCCAGCGAGTATGACACGCCGAAAAACAACCGCTCGATCCTGCCGCAGTCCACGCAGATCGTCCTCAAGGCCAAGAACGACCAAAAGTCCAAGATCGACGACATCTTCGCCGACTGCGACAAGGACTCCCTCGAGGGCGACAGGGACAGAGAACCCGACATTCCTTCGCCAGGTGAGTGTTGATGATGATAAATCCTTCGTGTTCTCGGCCTGTATGGAAGCGAGATCGAGAGCTGGTCCGTGTGTGCTAAATATCCGTTGTTTTACGAGGCCCGAGAAAGGTGATCGTGTTTCTCGGATCGATCAAGTGTGCAACGAGCGAGCAAACGTAACTGTCACATAGGTGTTTTTGTCGAAGTTGGTGTTTGCATCATTCTTTTTCGCTAGCTTTTCGCTTTGCTGTGCATTCGGGCGTAAACAATGGAGATTGTTATAAGTGCTTGTGTGCTTTTACGAGAGAGAGAGAGAAAGAGAGAGAGAGTGAGTGTGAGTGAGTGAGTGAGTGTGAGTAAGTGAGTGAGTGAGTGTGTGTGTGTGTGTGTGTGTGTGTGTGTGTGTGTGTGTGTGTGTGTGTGTGTGTGTGTGTGTGTGTGTGTGTGTGTGTGTGTGTGTGTGTGTGCGTGTGCGTGTGCGTCTGCGTGTGCGTTTTTGCATACATGTGCGCGTCTGTGTGTATGTATATTTATGTATGTATATGTATATGTATATATAACCCTACCCCATACATACATCCAAAGACCCCCCCCCTTTTTTTTATACCTTACCCACTCCCCCCCCCCCCCCACCTCCAAAATAAAAAGAAAACCCGGGGTAAACTTTGCCATAAACGTGATGAAGAGGCGTCCAACCGCTAAGTCGCCCTCAAGGTCCATGACGACGGCTGTTGGGTCGGTAAATAGGAGATGCAGTGGAGCCAGGTGTGTGCGTGTGCGTGTGCGTGTGTGTGTGCTCTAGGATCCTGCGCGTGTGCACTTTGGGATTGACACGTATTCTTGTATTTTAATGTGTGTGTGTATGTGTGTGTGTGTGTGTTTATGGGTTGGTTTGTCCATCCCTTTTCTGTTTGTTTGTTTTTTCTTATTTTTTTCCTCGTTCATCATCATATTTCTCTGATATTCGTACACGCGACGTTCAGAGACATTCTCTCTCCTCTCTCTCTCTCTCTGTCTCTGTCTGTCTGTCTCTCTCTCTCTCTGTCTCTCTCTCTCACACACACACACACACACACACACACACACACACACACACACACACACACACACACACACACACACACACACACACACACACGCCTTGACTGAGCACACAATCGGACGTGTTCAGCAGAGGGCGCGCGTGCTTCTCCCTAGTTTGTCTTCCCTTCAGTCCAATTTTGTTCATCCAATTACGGTCAGGTTAACGATATTTGAACACGTCTCAAATACACACACGTGTGCACATTGTGATACTCTTACACGTCCATGTACACGAACAGAAGCACTTGTACATTTTAGGTACACATTACATGTACAAATGCACATGTATATACGCTTCTGCATACACATAAACATACATACATACATACAACACACGCGTACACATATAAACGGACATACACATAGCAACCAGAAACCTACAAATATAAACCATACAAGAACACACACACACAAATACACATACACATGCATTCATAGACATATACATACAAACCATAAGCCAATTAAACAAACACATACAGCACACACACACACATACGAATACGCATATACGCACGCACATCCACATACCTGTACGCAAACAAGTGCATATCTACTTCCCGGTCTGACCTGTAGTACCGGAGGACTGTTTACAAGGGCGGGCACATCGCTACCACAACCGCAGAGCCCATCATTATCTTCGTTATCGTCTGTTCCGGCTGTTTAATCGACTTTTATCTCTTTTTCTTCTTATTTTTCTTTCTCTTTTTTTTCTTTGTTTATTTTTCTGCTACTTTTTTATGCTGATTCTTCCGTATTCCTCTTCTTCTATTTATTTTTATTTTTATTTTTCATCTTCTACTTCTGTTTCTGTTTCTTCTTCTTCTTCTTCTTCTTCTTCCTCTTCTGCATCATCTTCCTTGTACGGTTTTCGTAAATATTCTTCTATTTCCTTTCATGTCATCTTTTCAATCATCAATTTCTTTCATCTCTCTTTCTCTCTATCTCTTCACCAATCAATCAATTTATCCACCCATGAATCTCCTATTTTTACTTTCACAGACTCTCTCTGTCTATCAAATTATCTATCAGTTCCCCCGTCTCCCTCGCCATCCCCCCCCTTCCCTTCACAAAACGCCTACGTGTATATAACGAGACAGGTCGGTCGCTCCTCCGGTTCAACATTAGTGTAAAAAACCTGTTCATTTGTCTCGTCCGAAAATCGCAAACGCCTTTTACCTGAGAATCCTAAGTTCGCTGGACTAATGATATAAAAAAAAACGCACATGCACATGTACACACGAGTGCACACACACACACGCATAGATACATGCTACCACGTACGTATGCACATACATACATGCTACTACGTACCCACGCACACTCCCATGCACACCTGCACTTAACACGCATAAAAAAAGAAAAAAATCTGTAACTTTTTTATGTTTGATTTTTATAAGACTTTTTTATTATTATTGATTTGCGAATAAGGAAGTTCAGTTGCCTTTTACTTTTTTTCAAAATTTGATCTAAGTAAACGAAGGTGTTGAATGCACACAAGCATTTCCGGGATCTGGTAACACCTGCGTAACAACTAGTGAAAAAAAAGTTAGAACATATTTTCGTTGTTTGCAGTTTTTGGTTTTTGTTTTCTTTGTTTCTCTTTGTTTCTCTCTGTATCCTTCTGTTTTTTATCGTTATTTTTGCGCTTAATGTTATGATTATGTTATTATTTTCAATGATATTACCATCATTCTTTGTTTTTTATCGTTTGTTTTTTATTGTTGTTTATATTTCTAATTTTGTTTTCTTTTTCGTCATTAGTATCATCATCGCTATTAATATCAAAATTGATTCGTTCTTAGATTGAAAGCTACGATTATTTACATAGTTATCTTTAATATTAATATCCTCATTCTCATCAGTAACATTTTCTTTGTTATTATTATATATTTTTTTTGATTTTCAGTTCTAATATTTTTATTATTACTTTGAACATTATTGCACAGTTGTTACATTGGTTTTTGTATTGTTTTCTTCCGTGTTGACACAACAGCAACGCTAAGAATAAAGATAAAAACGAGAACATAGATCTTCATCTAAAGCCACAATTATAACACTAAGAACACCAATAACACCAATAACAAAACTCGTGTCGACCAGCCGTAATTTTCAGCGCCTTCGTCAGACAATCTCGTTGTCACCGATTTGTTAAATTTAGTTGCTCGCTGCACCTCCCTCGCCAAAAGGTTTTCAAGCTTACCGTGTTAACTCCACCTCCCTCTCCCTTCCTTTCCCTGGGGGCTGGGGGTATCTTGGGTTACTTCCCTTCCCTTCCCCGTGGGTAAATATCTCCCTCTTTCTCCCTTCTGCTGGGTAATTCCCTATCCTCTTCTTCCCTTCATCTTGGGGGTAACTCCCTCCCTTCTCTCTCCCTTCCCCCTAGGGTAAATATCTCCCTCTTCCTACCTTCTTGGGTAACTCTCCCTTTTCCTCCCTTCCTCTTACTATCCCCCCCTCCCTTCTTCCTTCCTTCCCCTTAGGCAACCCACCCTCCTAGACCCCTTTCTCCTCCCCTCCCCCTCCCCTCCCCCGCCCCCCAAATGAGCTATTGTTTCACTTGAAGGATTTCCTTAAGGGAACCTCAAGCACTTCCCTTTGTCGAGGGTGTTAGCTGAGAGGGGAGGAAGCGTGGGGCGATAAAGAAGGCGAAGAGAGAGAGAGATAAGACATGCATATAGATAGAGAAATAGATAGTGAAATAAATAGAGAAATAGGTAAGCCTTGTATATAGATGGAGAGATAGATGTGTATATATAGAGAGAGGTAGATAAAGTATAGAGAAATATGTCATTATTTATATAGATATAGAAATAGATTTGTATATAGATAGTGGGGTAGATAAGACGTGTGTATAGACAGAGAAAGAGATAAGACATCTAGACAGAGATTAGATATAGAGACAGGAGACGCGAGAAGCGGAAATAAGAAAGAGGGAGACAAAACGAAAACATAATTGAAAAATATGGAGTTAACAGATGCACAGCAACTTGACCGTAAGATGTAGAGAGACAGAACTAGACAGGAGAGACGGAAGCAGGCAGGAGAAACAGAAACAGACAGGAGAAACAGAAATAGCCAAGAGAGATAGAAATAGACAGGAGAAACGGAAATAGACAGGAGAGACGGAAATAGACAGGTGAAACAGAAATAGCCAAGAGAGATAGAAATAGACAGGAGAAACGGAAATAGATAGTAGAGACAGAAATAGACAGGTGAAACAGAAATAGCCAAGAGAGACAGAAATAGCCAAGAGAAACGGAAATAGACAGGAGAGACAGAAATAGACAGAAGAGACGAAAATAGACAGCAGAAACAGACAGCAGAGACGGAAATAGACAGAAGAAAAGGGAACGGCCGTCTTAGAAAGCGTTTCAGCCTGTCAAATTGGTGAGAAAAAAAATGACGCTCTCTAGATATTCACGGTAGAGACGATCAGGCAGAGAATATTCACGGAGACGAGTTTGACAGTGATGGTGGGGGGGGGGGGGGGCGTGTTTTTTATGTGCGCTCGTGGGATTGATTTTCGTTTGACCGCTCTTTTCTTCTTTTTTTTCGGTTTGATTTTTTATTTTTTCATTTTTTTGTTTGTCTTCTGTGTCCTTTATTTATTACTATTAATATTAATAATATTATCTCTTCGTTTCTCTTTCTGTCTGTCTCTGCCTCGATTTTGGTTTTGGTTTTTGGTCTCTCTCTCTCTCTCTCTCTCTCTCTCTCTCTCTCTCTCTCTCTCTCTCTCTCTCTCTCTCTCTCTCTCTCTCTCTCTCTCTCTCTCCGTCTCTCTCTTTCTCCCCCTCCTTCCCTTCCTCTCTCCCTCCCTCCCCTCTCTCTTTCTCTTTCTCTCTCTCTTTTTCTTTCTCTCTCTCTCTCTCTCTCCTTATGACCCCCCCCCCCTTCTTTCTCTCTTCCTTGATCTAGTCCAACGAGTAGTGAC